CTTCAAGGCATGTTGCCCAGAGACACCCAGAGCCCCTGCACCCACCCTGGGTAAAGCCAGGGGATGAGGCCTGGCTGTGTCCCGCCGCCGCCTGGGTTGGTAAGATGTGCTTGAGACATCCAAGGCAGAGGACTGTGTCCCCTGCTGCAAAACCCTCACATTCCTGTCTGCAACACCATACCACACCATAGCTGTATTGGCAGGCAGGGGTAGCTCCATCCCAAATGTCAACCTATCTGTCTTGACACCTCTGTGAGGGCAGCCACACGAGCCACTGCTCCCCTCCGGGGGACCAGGCCTGCGAGGATCAGGCCATGAAGATGCATCCTGGGGAAGCGGGAAGGTCACGTGGAGAAGCACCAAGCCCCGCTGTACCTCTCTGGGTAGGCGTAGCCAGAAGCCCTGGGGGCCTGATAGCTCAGTGTTAGGAGCAGCGCTGGTCCAGAAGACACTAACACTGGAGGAAAGGCTGTTGTCCAGGGCTGAGTTACCCTGGTGTGTCCGCTTCCATGGGCAGTTGCCCTCCGCCCCCTCGTCCCAGCACAGAGAGCCTGGGGGTGACTATGGGGAGGAAGCCTGCCAGGGTAAAAGCTTGGGGTATGTTACCCCAGAGTAAACACACCGTGTGTCTACACCCCTGGGGGCCAGAGCCTCCTTGCAAGTCCCCCTCCCTAATTTCTCACAGAGGTTTCCTCTGCGGGGGCTGCACAGGGGTGGGGGGAAGGATCAAAGCTAGGGGCTGCATGTGCATGTGTGCTGGGGAATACTTTCTGCCCCAGCCTGGGCTACTGGGACAGCCATGAGGGTGGGGGCTGCTATTTGGAGTGGGGATTAGCTGCCTGGGAACCAGCGGCCCGGGGCTGGGGGGTGTTTGCTGGGGCTGGCTCCCAGCTGCGCCCCCGGGGAGCCCTGCCACACACAACGAGGAGGCAAATATTTGTGCCCAGACTTCACAGCCCAGTGAGAACAGCAGCATTCCTGCCCCCAGATGCCTTAACCCCTTCGTACCTGGCTGGCTCCTGCCCCCCAACCCTGGGCCTGAGTCCGGGGCAGCCCCAGCCCCATGCTCTGAGGGCTGGGCTGCCTGCTGGGCCACGGGCAGGGTGCTGGGCCTGGGGTGGTGGGATCACACATTGCTGTAGGGATACACGGGTGCCACACCCAGTGCATGCAGGCTCGCAGATGCAGGCATGCACACGCCTCTCTGCAACCTCCCCCTGCACATACAGGCCTCTCAGCACACGCAAGCACAGGCACACGCATCTCCCAGCCAAAACCCATGATGTACACGGTAATGCATGTGTGTGTACACAAGCTGCTGCTCCCTGCTCATATGCTCCTGCCACATGCACTCTACCAGCTGGCATGAGCAGGGTCCTGCCCACAGCCCCATCTCCCTGGGCTGGGACCCTGTGTCCTGTCCTGTGCCTGAGCATCCTTGAAGCAGGCCTGGCTGCACTCGAGTCTTGCAGGAGGAGCCCTGTGTGCAGGGCCAGGAGGGGGCATGCAATGCCAGTGCTTGCTGCACCCGACCATCTGGGTACCAGGGGACCAGGATGGCAGCACTTCCCTCCCTGGAGACAGCACCTGCTTCAGGGCTGAGCCTAGGCAGCCCAGGGCATGGGGGTGGCCAGCAGGGAGAGGCCCCATGGCTCTTGCCACTTGGCATTGGAGCTCGTAGCTGCGGGTCCCTCCGCCAGCTCCATACCCGTACAAAAGGGAAGGTGAGGGCAGGAAGGCAGCGGAGCCCTGCCCTGGCTGTGGATGCCACCGTGCCCGGGCTGTGCCCTCCCTGGCAGGTGGGAGGCTCTCAAGGCCTCAGAGGCTGTGAGGTGGGGGTGGGAGGACTGGTGCCCCCCAGGGAGGAAGGCGAGGGGGGCCGAGGCGGCGCGAATGAGGTGCGGGCGGACGTGTTTGCTCCAGATGCGGTGTTTATTAGCCATTTACAAATGCAAAGTGGGACCAGGAGGGAAGCGACAGCTCATCAGGGCAGGAGCTCAGAGGTCCACCCCCCACACCCCAGAGCGCTAGCGGCCCCGGGCCTGGAGCCCAAGGACCCCGGGAGTGCCCTCAAGGTGCCCGTGGCCTGAGCTGCAGCAAAAGTGTCTCCCACTGGCCACTTCCCACCATGGACAGCAGCAGGAGAGTGATGGTGGCGAAGGCGGCTGGCACCAAGGCCCGTGCCATTCACATATGCACTTGGGTGGGGGGGCTCTGCTCATCCCTCCTGCCCTGAATCCCCACTCCCGCCCTGCCCCGCCCAGCACAGCTGGCCCTGAGTATACACAGCTGTTTGCTCAGCAGCCCCCCACCCCACCCAGGGCATTTATGAGGGGGCTTTATGGCCATGGGGCTTCAAAGGACCTGACCCCCCCCCAGGGCCTGTTACCATCCTGGCCTAAATGGGGGGGCAGAATGTGGGTGGCCCCTTTCCTCCCAGCAGCCTGGAGGTGTTGGGGGGGCAGGGGGCCTGCCCTGCGGCATTGAGACGGGCTCCCTCCCCCAGCCTGGCTTCGGTGCTACCATTCACACCTGGGCAAACGGGCTGCTAAGGGCCCCCCAGGAGGCCATTCTCAGCCACTTTGCCCCATGCCAAGAAGCAGGGGGGGGTCACTTCAGCACCTGGGTAGCTGCCACCCCCCAGCCTCAGGGCATGACAGCCAGATGTGCCCAGGGGGAGGGGGGAAGGGCACCGAGTGTCCTGGGGTTCACCCTGGCTCTGCAGCCTGCCCCTGCGGCCCCATGGTGCAGGTGCCTGGGCTCTGCCCTGTGCTCTTGGCTGTGCCACGCAGGGGAAGAGGTCACAGTGGTGGCAGCACTGGCAGGGGCAGAGCCTACGGGCTCCCTTGGGCTGGGGGAAGCCAGTAGCTGCTGCAGGAGCCATGCACGTCTCTCTACCCTGTCATCCCAGGTCAGGGCACGGCGAGCTACATGCCTGGCCTTGCTCTGTGCAGCTGCTGTGCCCCCTCCGGCTGGCTGCAGTGCCCAGGGCCTCTCATCCCATTACCCTGGGGCTAAGTAGCTGCTCCCAGCCTTGCACCCCCTGCCAGGACCTGGCATACAAGGCCCCGGCGTGTGCCCATGGTGTGTGCTCAGGCCTGTGCACATGGAGGGCAGCCCCAGGGAGGTGGGTGGTGTTGTCACCCCTTGTGCCCGCAACTGTGGGTCACCTCCTGCCACGTGCTGCCTCCAGGCCCTGCACCGGGCCCTGCAGCCAGTGCCCAGATTTGCACGCTGGGCTTGGCTCAATCCCAGGGGCATTCCCAGGCTGAAATGGCCCGGGCAGCCCCTCGGGGAGCTCTGGCCATGGAAAGAGCCAGCCTGAGCTGTGGGGGCTGCAGTTTCAGGGCCACATAGTGCTGGCTCCCCATGGCGCTGCCCCCAGACTCCCCTCTGCAAGATGCGTCCAGAGTCGCCGGGGCCCCTGGGGAATGGGAAGGCAATACCCAATGCAGTGGCAGGGAGAGGGGCCTCAGGCAAGCAGCACCCCTCCTTGCAGCTGCAGGCAGCACAAAATGTCAGGGGAGGGCTAGGAGCCTGCAGTCTGGTGGTGGGGCTGGGACCTGCCTCTCCCATCAGGGCAGCCCCAGGGTCCCCCAGCACCAGCATCGGGGCCCCCACCCCTGGTATTCCTCTGGCTCCAGCTTGGTGGGGGCCGGGGCTGTTGCTGGGCCTGGTCCCTGGGAATGCCAACACCCCCAGGCCCTGCATTGCTGCCCCCCTGCCCATGCTGGGGGCCGCTCTGTGCTTGCTGCTTCTCACTGGACCCAAACCAGCTTCGCTGCCCTGATGCCGAAGGAGGCTGCAGCGGCATCCCAGGGCCTCAGTGCTGTGGGCAGCTCGGTGCCGGGACCAAGCCCTGGGTTATGCCATCTTTGTTGGCAAAGCCCAGAGGCAGCCGGGTGGGCATGGGCACAGGGCACTGGTGACCACTCCCAGTCTCTGGTGGAAATGGGGTCAGGGTGGATGCCAGGCACAGCGCCCTCCACGGTGCCCGCTTGCACAGATGGAACCGGGCTGGGCTGCGGGGGCCACAGGGCTCCCCGTGGTGTCGGTGCTGGTGCCAGGCTGGAAGGGTGCAGCCCTGCACGTCCGCAGCAGGCGGAGGCTGCATGTGTCCGCATTGGGCAAGGCCCGGAGCGTGGGCAGCCAGGGGAGGGGCGGTTTGGGGGGTTGACCTTGGTGCTCTGCCTGGTGCCGCAGCCCCTGACGTGCAGATTGAAGTGCCCGGTGGGCTCTCCCCTGGTGCCTGCTCCACTGCCCCGGGCTGCAGGGTGCACTGGAGCCCGGTGCAGCCCAGCCGCTGCCCAGGTGGGTGCCTGCGGGGCTGGGTGCTGTGGGGGTAGGGGGGGAGGCTGGGCCTGGGAGAGGAGACCTGTTTGCTTTTGCCTGCTCTGTCACCCATCCAGCCCCTGCCGGGAACGGCTGGCTGCCTGTTTGTGTGCGTGCCTGCATGTGCCCATGTGTGAGTGTGCACAGCTCTGCAGGGCCCCGTCTTCCCCCCCACCCAGGACCCCCACAGCCCAGCCGGGTGCAGCTGCGGCTGTGCGTGGGCGCAGGGTGACAGGTGTGTTTAGACTGAGCATGCACCGGGCCATGAAGCGTGCAGCCCTCTGCGTGCCAGGGGGGCCTGTGTGTGGGGGGAAGGTGGTGGTAGCTCTGCCGAGGCCCTGGCGGCGCCGCTCTGGGGGCTTCACTGGCCACCATGTGGGCAGTGCTGGCAGGGGGCATCAGCCACCTGCTGGACCACCCCCAAAGGGCTGGGGGTGCCTGCGGTTGCCTCCTCCCACCCCCGCCTGGGCCTGCTCCTCCACCCTCCTGCCCCTGCCACCACCCAGCAGGGGAGGGATGGAGCTGCTGGTCCCATCCTGGGAGGGGGTGAGTGCGTGTGTCTGGGACCGTGTGGGGGTTGCGTGTGCATATGACAATGTGAGTATGTTGGAGGGTTGTGGGGGGTATGTGTGCACACGTATGTGAGGGTGTGTGTGTGGGAGGATGCATCTCAGCATGTAGCTACATCCCTTCCCTGGGGGCTGGCACCTGCCCTGTGCGGTCCCCTGTGCCGGAGGCAGGGGCTGGGACGCTGGCTCACTGCGCCATGTCCCCGCAGGCTGTTCCCCGAGCGGTCCCCAAGCCCTGACCCCATCTCCTGCGGGGCTTTCTGGCCTGAGCCACTCCAGACCTGCGTCAGGCCCAAGGTGCCAGGAGGCTCCCGGTTCACGAGGGCGGTGGGAGCGCCAGGGTGCCAGGAGGCCCCAGCCTGTGCCGGGGAGCTGGTGCCTCTGGCATCCCACTGTGCGCACGCCCCCCGCACGGCGAGCCAGGGAGGAAGCGTCTGGAAGCAGGAAGCCGCTCGCGGGCCAGCACTCGTCCCTGCTCCTTGGAGAAGCACAACAGGAAGCGGTGCTGGGCCAGCCCGGGGCTCCGGCCGCCTGGACTCAGGGCCCCGCTGGGAGCCGCCCCCCATGGCCGCTGGCGAGGAGCAGGGGAGCAGCTGCAGGCCGCCAGGAGCAGGATGTGGCGCCCAGACGGCCCCTTAGCATGGAGCTGAACCGTAAGTGCCCCACGCCCAGGGTTGCTCCTGGAGTGGGGGTAGGAGGGCGGGCATGCTCTGGGGCAGAGGAAACCAGGATGGGGCCCTGCAGGCCACGCCACCAGGGCTCCCAGCCCTGCCCCTCCGGCACCTCCCAGCCCCGTCGTCCCGTGGCTCATTCGCATGAGGCAGCCACGTGCCCCAGCTGGCCAGGCTGGCACTCCACCCCTGCAGGCACGTGGGGCCTCTGCCCTCTGGCTAGGGGCGTTTCTCACCCCTGCCCTCAGCTGGGTGAGAGGCAAAGGGGGTTGGGGGCGCCTGGCCATGGGTCTGGGACAGCCTAGTGCTGGGTCAGGGAGGCTGAGGGCAGAGGGACAGGGTAATGGGGTAGGCAGGGCAAGCTGGGTCAGGGCTGCTGGGGGCAGAGGCGATAGGACCAGGCATCCGGGACCAGGAGGGGAGACCCGGGCACGCCAGGACAAGGGAACATCCCAACTAGCATGCCGCATAGCACAGGAGGCCCCAGGCTCATGGGTGCCCCCAGCTCATGCCCAGCCAGGGAGCTGCTTTGACCCCTGCCTTGGTGTCATCCTGTGGGACCAGGCTGTGGTGCCCCGGCCTCCCTGTACATGATGCTTCTCCCTACGTGAAGCTTGGCAGGCCCCTGCTCCAGGGCCTGAGAGTGAAAGCGGCCGTAGTGCTGCCTGGACATGCACACGCACACGCCCACGCACACACACACACACGTGGGCTTCTTATCGGGAGCGGGAGCCGCAGAGGAAGCCGCTCATCCTCCCCCAGCGCCGCCCGCTTCCTGGGGAGCAGGCCGGCAGGAAGCGGCCTGGGAAACCCCACCCCAGCTGGAGCCTGGCCCCATGGCGCCTGCCCCCCCCAATATCCGCAGCATCAGTATGCCAGCCCCCAACCCCCCGCCTTCATCCCCCACTGGGTGCCAGGTACCTCTGATGGCAGGGCATCCTGCCCTCTGCCCTGCCACCTTTACACAGCTCCCGGCATTGTGAGCAGCTGGATCTGACAGCTGAGGTGCTGTAGACCCCAGGGCCGGATCCTGCCCCACCTAAGCAGGTGTGTTGGGGGTC